GATAGGGCACTCGACTCGCAATCTGAAGGTTGCTGGTTCGATTCCCTATCCCACCAAACATTCTCGTCCTTTCAGCTGTAGGGGCGTTATAATGTGACGGTCAAACCCATTATTCATTGGTAAAAGAGTAGCCCAAGAGTTGGCAGTGGATGGTGATGACTAGCTGCCTTCCCTTCAGTATTAAATTGCTAAATTAGGGATGGCTAGCATAAATAGCCCTCATGTAGCTTTTTCAAAATTCAAAACAAACCAAACTATCTAGCAGTCTTCTTTGTCAGCTATCCTTACTGACTTACTTTATTTGTTGACGTGGATGCTCATCTCTTTAGGTACAATTACTCCCACTGCTGTTGAAAGAGGTATTAATCTCCTTGATATTATTCTAGCTAAACTCAATCAAGTATGTGGGTATTTATAATGAGGTTGTTTCACATACCAGGGAGGTAAATAAGTTGTTTCACATATCAGGGAGGTATATAAGCAGGTGTTGATTTGGGCATTGGTGTGTTGTTCTTTGTTTTTGAGTTGTTCATCTTCCTGATTTCAGGTTGGGTCTTATCACCGTTGTTACTTCATTGACCTACATTTTGGATCACTTCAACCTCTGTAGCTTCTACTTCAAAGCCTTTTTTGTTTCATTCACACTGTCTGACAAAGATGTAAGAATAGTACTAACTCTTTACCCTTTTGTTAACTTAATACCTTTGTGGACACCTCCAGTGTTCTGTTCATTAAGGGACTGTCTTGGTACCTTTCTCTATCAGTGGAACCCTTGGGTTCAACAGATTCTTTAGTCTGACCTTTTTCTTCACTTTTCTCTTCCACAAGATTCAATTTGTTAGTAATTTCTGTATTAAAAAGTTTCAGATCTTCTCAAAGATACAATAGAAATCATATTCTCACATTCCCAAGGTTTTTACTCTTGTCTTTTTGCTACTCCTAAGAAGAGAGGAGATTGAAAACTTGTAATGGATTTCATTGTACTCAGTCACTAATTCATTGTATCCCATTTCAAATTGCAGGACAAGAGATTACTAAAATTTTTCTTTGATGAAACTACTGGATGAATAAAATGGATTTACAAGATGATCCACATCCTCATTCACCAGTTGTCTCATTGATTTTTCAGGTTTACCTTTTTTGAGCACATTATTTTGGTCTAGATTATTGGGTGGACAACTGGCTCATACCAGCTCTTTCTTCCACCTAATTTCAGGCACACACAAGGCTTGCCTCTCAGTTGGATACATCTCTTGGGTGGATCATCCACACTTCCAAACCCCAGTGATTCCAATTCAGTATATGATTAATCTGTGATTTAGGATCAAGATTGTTGAGTGTACTCTTCAACCTTCTCCTGTGGCTCCTCGAGCTTTAACAATTGAAAGTACACAATCTTATGTGTGTTGCCATACCTACAGTCAAAGATATCTACTTTAAGGACTGTGGCTTCCATATTGGATATTGTTTCTTTGGGGCAAGCTCCTGTGTGCTATCTTCCATGAGTGTTGGTCAGTGTAAGATGAGCTGTGACCCACCATCCCAGCCTATTTCTCTCTCCCTTCACGTACTTGCTTCTCTCCAATTATGATTGGATCAAGAATTGACCACAGTTGAGTTGCTGCCTTCCCGCTAGTCTATCAGATCAAAATTAGGGACATCTAATAGCAGATAGCCCTTGTGTACTTTTGTGTGAATTTTTAAAACAAACAATAATTTTCAGTATGATTAATTTGTGTATTAATTTATGTATTGTACTTTAGACGTTTCTGTATCTTCATGGCAATTTGTAATATGACAAGACAATTTATGTCTTGATTTATGACACAAACTTGTGTCAGTGGGAATAGTACAGTAAAGATGGTCAAAATAGTTTATTAAACATATTTTTGAACCTTTCAGTGAGAATAACAAATTAACATTTCAGAGTAAAATGAATGAATTTGTGAAATAATTCATGAGCTGTTTTAAGTATTATGTTACAGGAAATCTTTTATTTTTTGGAATGAAATAAATCATTTTAATACTTAAATATCATTACAAGCAGCTTCAAAAGAATATCATTGATAGTAAATTTTATGTATAAAGTATGGTCACACAATCTTTAAACAACTCACATTTTTGGTGAGCATTCCAATAGTATTTCTGGATGGCAAGTTAAAAACTAAAGCATGTTTATCATCATCAGTATTTATTGAGTAGAAAAATCTCAGTTTTAATTCAGTCTTATTTTGAGGTAAGTTAACATACATATCAAATATCAGTTTAAATGCAATGTTCCAAATTTATTTTATTACGAAGTCCAAATGTACTTTTTGGATTTTTGCTGGTTGAATATGTATAAAATGACTGTCGATTTTGTGCTTATCAAATACTGCATTTAAACTTGAGTCCAGTACTTCATGCAAGGAGCCTATATTGAGATATTTTATTTTTCAAAACTAAATGACAGGTTATTTGAAAGTGTCGCGCAAGAATCCATCGTAACAAATGCCACCAAAATGGGGGCTAAGTATAACATGCTTAAATAACCAAATAATATTACAGTAATGATTTCAATTTAACACTTTTTGCCTGTATTTTACTGTATGAGGTATACAGCACAGGACGTACAGGAATTACATTAACAAAATGTGCACTTTCGTTAGTAAATTTGTTAACATCATTTCTGGACACTGTACATTAATTTGGTTTCTAAATAGTCCCTTGCACTGCTTATATAAACTTACTGTGATTGTTATACTGACTGTTTCTGTTTTTACTAATATAGTATATAATCATAGTAAACAAGAACTCTATTGATGAAACTGGAATAATACAAAGTTCTGAGAAGATATAACGTTAATTGCATGTGTCAGAAAGAAAGATGATGATTTGTATCTCCTCAACATTATAAACATTTCTTTTCAGATTTTGTGAAATCTCACTTCTCAAACGTAACTGAAACTCAAATCAGGGAAAAAATGACCCAGAAGTGCAAAGACCTGAGGATAACTCATACCAGAAGAATTAAAAGAGGAACTGTCACAAAAGAGTTTTTCTAAGCTTAGTAAAACTGGAAATATATGTTTATGTGTAATATAAATTTATATATCTTTTCTTATTTTTAAGCGCATTACAGTGGTTTGTGTGTGTCATTGTTTGGGGGAAAAAAAACTTAAGAATTTATAAATCTAAAGCAAAAATTCTCCATAATATTTATAAAAATAGTAATAAAATGCAAAAAAAATAAGGTGATGTTTTTTGTTCTACATATTTAAGCTTATTTAATCTAACAGCAATAAACATGTGCATGTTTTTAAGGTGTGAGAAATTTAGAATTTTATTTTAAAATAGATCATTAACCCTGTGTTAGTCTTCTGTAAAAACTTTCCATAGTCACTCTTCTGGGGTCTGAGTGGAACCCATCATAAAAAATTAAATTTAAAATGTTTACATAATAATAAACTATTATTTTGGAAACAAAAAACACTAACACTCAAAATCTTGTCCTTTATTAATCAATAAATGATCATTGAATATTAAAACTTGTTTCTTTTTTACCACCTAAGCTAAGTGTAACAACTTAACACGAACTAGCCAAGTACTGAAACTACTGAGAACAACAAACATGTACGTGCTTTTATCTGCCAGTGCCAAAGTTTACAAAATATTTGGGGTCCGTGAAGACCCCGGAAGACTAATGCAGGGTTAAGAAGATATTTTTTTAATAATTTACATGTCTAACTGAAACATATCAAGACAGTACAGTATGGTTAAAAAGTTAGCTGCACTACTCTTAAATCTCGTCTGTGTGGATACAATCTGACTTGCAACACCAAAACTCATTGGACCTATGTTAGTCTTCATGCCATGCTTACTTACTAATCAAATATATTTGCATACTAATCTGAAACAGAACAAAATTAAAAGGATTTATTATATTGCTCTAGAGTGACTAACTTTTGTACCACCCTTATATTCACTACATGTTTATAAGCCTCAAATTCTAGACAAAAGAAGAAACACGTTATTTTCAGAACCGTTTAATTGCATTGGTTAATAAGTTATCCTTATATAATGGAAAGTGACATGGAAAATAAATTTTGAAGTTACACAAACCTTTATATTGGAGTAGGTTTTTCATGTTTGTTGAAGAGTAATTTTGATCTTGTTTTTATACATTCAGGGTGATTAAAACTCCTACTTTTTCATGTTGGTGTGAAGTAGGTATGCCTAAACACCTTATATCAACAGTTTTCCAATATTCCGCACATCTTCTCAGGTAACAGATGACTCCCAATAAAGATGAAATCAATGTGTAATGCAAATGATAATATCACTGAGCACTATAACTTATGTTTTGACACATTTTACCTTGTAGTGATAATTTCAGAGCTAGTGTTTGATAGACTATGATTTTACCTTTATATCGTGACATCATGTTAGATAATAAATGGCCCTTAATATGCCTAAATACCCCATGTCAGTAGATTTGAAATATTCCAGACCTACTTCACAACAATAGGGGAAATTAGAAATATTAGCTCATTATGTATGTGTAAGTAGACATGAAATTTGTTTAAGATTATAATCAATAAGGTTCTGTATTTAAACCTCTTAAACTTATACTTCTTTAAAAATGTTTGATAATCTTACAAATGTACTAATGTATAATCTACATTAATCCAACATTAGTTTCTCATTAGTTAAGTTTGAACTTAAGTTTACTCAAGCAATGTAAATAATCTTGTACTTTCAGAAGTTAATCCTTGTTAGATATGTGGTTCTAGTCATAGACTAAACACATTTCTTGAAAAGGGACATAGATAAAAATCAAAAGGTATTTTGGGGTAAAATTTGGAAAACAATTTTTTTTTTTACTTAACTTAGACCTGCTGAATTGAAAATGGCTGTTACAAAGTTCAATTTTCATTTGTTTGGCTTCTGTTTTTACAAGAACAAAAGGGCTGACAAAGAGCAGTTTTATGCCATTCTTTTTATGTAGTTTCCTCCTATGTCCTAGGAAAATTCTTGTGAGGGACATTGTAGCATAATGTTACATCTATAGGATACCAAGGTATGTACCAAACTGCTATAATTATTTCACTTTATAACATACATTAGTGTACCTAATATATCCATAAATGTTGACAGTAACACGGTCAGGGAGCCAATATGTTTTTTTAGGAGCATCCTACCAGCTCAAATGTTGCACCCAAATTGTACAGAAGATGTAGAACAATAAAATTTTTGAATATAGAAATAGAAAATGTTTATCATTACTTCTCAAGGTTAAATCAATGAACATATTATACTGATAAACGTTTGTCATATCTATTCAACAATTTTTTGTTATGTACGTCCTGCACAATTTTGATACCTCATTTGTGCTGATATGATGCTCCTGAGAAAACATATTGACCCTCAATGATTCTTGACCTTTGTAATGAAAATATTGTGTCATCATCAGAACTTCTGTATGTTTTAGATATACTAGTGCTTGTTATAGAATGGAATACTTATAGTGGTTTGATATGTATTTATAGGATACATATCCTGTAAATGCAGTAAGATTATTACTACGACAACTGTCACAATAATTTTACGAGGACAGAGCAGCCAACTCAGAAAAATAATTGCATAAAATTGCTATTTGAAAGCCATTTTGTTTTCTGCAAATTAGAAGTCCAACAACTTAAATTTGGACCTAGTAACAAGCATTTTCAAATTCAGCTGGTCCAAATTATGTTGAAAATCCTGTTTAATAACTTTTATCCAGAAATACTTCCAGATTCAAGTCCAAGTTATGTTAAAACGTGTTACTTACTTTTACCCAAAAAAATCCCATGTCTTTTCCTTGGAGATCCCAACTAGTCTGTTACTCAATTGACCCTGTTTTTTAACTCTCAGCTTTTAACGTTTTTACCTGTTCTTCACCTTACCCTGCCATGAAATAAAATTTTTATAGCTTTTCTAGCAATTAAAGATGATCTTTTCAGAAATAATTTAAGCAACTTGTCTATAAATGGCAGCACGTTAATGAAATAAAATATTTTACTTCGGAAGATACACTGCTAAAACATTTCTTCTGTTTCCTGTATGTAATATTAGGTTAGTCATAAACAAAGAAAGAAATACATATTGTAATAAAACTTGTTTCTTGCGTATACACGATAAAGTTTTCTTCAAAACAAGTAAAGCCGACTAACAAGATATTCGTCGTAAAGGAGATTTAATGTGAAACTTACCCAGTAGATGGCAGGCCAAAGAAAAATATTGTCTAACATGAATTTGTGGTGTCACGAACTTTAGATTTCAGCTCACGGAGACTTTCTCTCTCTATATATATATAAGAAATTAAAAAAAAAAATAGAGAAAGAGATTATTATTTGCTGTTTAATTTATACATGATGTTCAGTCCTATTCCCTGCAGCTGTTCGAAATATTGATAACATAACGCCAGTATCAATTCCACACGTTCTTGTAAGGTTAATGACATCCAACCAACTATTGTAAAAACAACAACAAAAAATGAAACACAAACATGACTGAGAAAAATCGTATCAGGGATGGGACTTAGCAATATCATGAGCGAATTTTGCATCGCCCTGCATAATCTATATATGTGTTAGCTTAGTCTTAAAGAAAATCAAAAACGTGTTCTTATAATCGTTAATACATAGATAGTTCCCTAATCACTTTTTTATAGTGTGCTATCATTACTCAGTCTTTTGCACACTTAACAATAAAGGTTATCTCAATCAAATTCGCTATGAGCAAGAAGATGCCATTATTGAAGTGCAGATAACATAGCTGGTAAAACACCTTAGTACTATGGCAGCTATTTATGTATCTATATCTACATATTAATAAGTTCTCTCACTATATAAGTAAGAACTAAAATTTATCGAGCGTGGCCTAATGGTTTTTTTGTGTGTCCAGAATATGAATCTAAAGATTCATGGTTCGCATCCACTGCCTCAAAATCGCAATCCGTACTTTGGGCTGTGGGTGCTCTATAAAATTGACGATCAAATTCCACTATTAGGTGAGATAAGGATTGACGCTTGTAAATTGACTAACCTCTTGTCCTGCTATCAATTCAAAGTCCTGTTAGTTAGGACACTCAACTCCTAATCTGCTGGTTGCGAGTGCGAATTCCATCACTGAACATTCTTTCCCATTGAGCCTTGGGGTGTTATAATGTGACAGTAACTCCTATTATTCGGTGGTAAAGAGTAGCCCACGAGTTGGTGTTGAGTAGCTGCCTTCCCTCTAGTCTTTCGCTTCAAAATTAGGGATGGCTTGCACAGATAGCTGTCGCTTTTCGCGAAATTCAACAAACAATCCGTTCAGGTTTAGAAATGGCTGCGCGCAAATAACTCTGTGTAGTTATATTTTAGATAATGCATACATTAATTAAGACATTCTTATGTAAC